ATTTCGTGGATGACACTGATGCAGCAGATGGAGGCAAGAGACTGTAGTGCCCCGCAGGGAGCATGACGTTCATTGTCTGTTAGAGCCAGCTGGTCTGGGAGCTCTGCGAGATGGCAAAGAACATCACTGTCAAAACCAAGGGTAGTAACCATGGTCATCAACCCAGAGCAGCTGCAGAGGGGACACTGTCTGCTCATCTGGTCCAAACAGTCATTTGCAAAGAGAAGGCAAAAAGCAGAAACAATAGAAGCATTCTAAGAGACAAATAGAACTAATACTAAATCACAACCGAGAAAAACTGCAAGTGGTCCTGTTCTATCAGGTCATCTGCTTCCTCTAAGTAACCGTTTAGCTTGTAAGGCTTCAAAATGCCTAACACCTGTGGCCCGGTATTCTTCCCTGTGACCTGGTGCTGTGCCCTCTTTCCTCAGTTAAGTCTTGGAATCTAGCCTGTGTATGTTGTGTTACATAATATTTCACATTATTTTTCTATCGATTAATGAAAAACAATTCAAAAAGAGCATTTTCTTTTTACAAGTGATGATTCAGATTATTTGTGTAGCTTTCAGCTTAATGCAGGACTTAATGTACAGGAAGCTTAGGAGGGGGCTGATGGCGCCTTTCCCACAGGGAGTGTGCATCCAGGGTTCTTCAGGCACCTGAAGGGTTGTCAGAGGAAAGGTATTGCCACCTCTCTCCGATACCATGTATTGGTGAGGGCTGTTCTCTGAAATTCTCCTAGCTGGCTCCATCCTGTTATTACTGAAAACCAAGTAAATGACAGAGGTGATGTCTCCAGGTTGGTTCTACAAAATTGGCAACTTAGTGATGGGATCCTGATCAAAACCTTATCTCTACAAATGCTAAAATGTAGAAACTGAGGCCGTGTCTAAATCTGTATTTTATTTAGCATTTTATATCACTTTATTTAACAAACAAACACAATATGCCAAGTGCTATTCCAGTAATTTTGGAAGTTTTAATTTTTTAAATAAACTTTATTTAAAACACAAAAAAAGTATTCCTCTATAAATTGGCTAAATGTGTTTTGAGTATGCTGGTAGGTTTTGTAAAACAGAAATATACCCCCAGATCCATTAGCAAAATTTAAAAATATATATATTGTACTTTTGGAGTCAGAACTGCATGCATGATTTTAAAAATGCAAATATGACAGTTTTATTTTTTGACATTTTTTGTGTTTTGTTTAAGGGCATTTGGTCCACTTTGGTGCCATGAAGACATCACTCCTAAAAATCAAAATTCAAAGAGTGCTGAACAGCTCACTAATTTTCTACGGCACGTTGTATCTGTGTTTAAAGATTCCAAATCAGGTACTTCATTCTGTTTGCCCAAATCCCTCCTTCAGCTTTGTGTCTGAGCTCACTCACTTATATGACCACACACCTTGGAATGCGGTCCTTATTCTCTACCCCTACAGCATAAGTATATTCAAAGGGGATTTTGAAGTTTATTTCAGATGCTTCTGATAGTTAATACCATGTATATTTTCATTACACTCTATTAATTGATTTGCCCAACTTCACTGTTCTATTACCTTTAAAGAAAGCCATAAGAAATAAATCTCATTAATTGACTCTCCTCAATCTCAACTATGAAAAATAGCCTGGTTACATGTCTCGTTGAAATGTTTAAACTGCTTTTTTGTTTGTTTGTTTAAAAGAATATGTGATAAAATATTTTTGGTTTCAAAGGTGTTGGCTAACTATTCCTGTGCAAACGACTGTTCAAAATTCTGAACACAGCATGAATGAGTCCCGTTTAGACGATAGTTTAATACTTTATAATACTTAATTGTTTGCCCTCAGCTGAGTTCCTGCCGATCCTACTTGGCCTGAACGGATTTGTGTGTGAAATTTAAATTTGGTTCTTGAGCATGTTATAAGATTATCTCTGCCTGTTCCCTCACACCAGGCTGGCCGTATTAAATCCAGCTCACTGGCTTTTCTGGCTGCTGCAATAATTAGCACATTTCCTTGTTTGAAACACTTCCTATTACCCACAGCTCTTTACATTATCAGAGGATGTTACTAAGAAACACAGAATACTGATAAACTGAAATGAGGAAGTCATTCTAGCAATGGAAGTGCCACTTCTTGTTTTGAATTTCCCCTTTGGAATTTGTTTGAAACAGTAAAACCCCCAAAGTCACTCACAACTGAACACAAACCAAAAAAATTATTTACTATTTGTATGTGAACCATTAATTTGTCTCAAACCTTTGATTATATGAAGTTGATAAAAAATGATGAAATATGTGAATGCCTTTTATTGAATTCTCAGTGGATACTTTAGGCTGCTTAAAATGTAAGTCTTTTCACATCTTGACTAAGCTATTCTTACTCATTCTGATTTCTTTGTACATCCCTGAGTTCAGCCTGTTTTCACCATACACACACGGTGTGTCCCTATTTCTTCGGGTTTGTGTTCACTTGTATTAGTCAGGGTGGGATAGCTGCTGTAACAACCTCTAGAGCTCAGAGACTTAACATAGGAGAAGATTATTCCTGGATCACATAACAGTTCAGGTGGGTATTCGGCAGGCTCCGAGGCCTCTGCTAGACCCCCTGCATCCACCAGCAGGTGGAGAGAGAGTGAGTGAGTGGAGGATTCCTCAGGATGAGTGGACCCACCACGTTTGAATGAGTTGTCTGGTGATGCTTCCCACATTCTACGGGCCAGAATTCAGGCACGTAGTCACATGTAACTGCAAGGAAGGCTGGAAGTACAGATTCACTGTGTGGCTGGAAAGAAAAGAAAACCTTTTCCTTTTCCCAAAGGATAATTCATTGTAGAGGTGGAATCCTCAGTCCTACTAACAAAGTTCTAGCCTTCCGGTTCATTATGATTTAAATACGCGTTTGGTCATTGCTAGGGGACCTAACCCCCACATATGAAATGGATTAAGTAGTAAAATGTGACATAATAAAAAAGACATAACATATTTCAGGGGAGTGGAGTTGAAACACCTTCTTCTTAGTGTTTCCATCACAAGGATGGAAAAGCAAGTGTCCAAAATACTTAATACTAATATGAAGCCTGTAGATGAACTAATACACCCCACACAAGAGAAAAGCTCAATTCATCTCATTTTGGAGGAGGGAATAGAGAGGAGGAGGCGGGAGGATGGGTGTGCTCCCACCTCATGGGGACAATGTAGGAGTGCAAGGCACACCTCCGGGGGTGGGACACAACTACAACAAGGACTTTACCTAACAAACGCAAACATTGTAACCTAATTGTTTGTACCCTCATATGTTAATCTGAAATTAATAAATAAATAAATACATTTTTTTTAAAAACCACAATAAAAAAAAGAAAGAAAAATAAATATATTATTTTGAAGTGCAATCCATTTGGACATGATGAACTGCCCATATAGATTTAATACTATATTGACACCCTGAATATGAAGTCCATTTTCAAGTTCCTCTGTTTTCTCTGCAGGAACAGTTTCTCATATAATCTATTTGTTCCTAGGGTCAAACAGCCAAGCCCAGCTAAGAACACTGGCAATGAACTGTCCCTCTGGTCCACATTCATGGGACAGCCTGTGGATCACGGAGACAGCCAAAATCGCTGTTTGCACTCAGTCCTCTCACTCTGATAGCCTGTTTTTCTCTCTGCAGAGAGGCACAGGAAGTACACAGAGCTGTGACCCAGAATTCAGTCATAAGCTTTGTCTTGCATTTTCATTCCCATCGGATCAGATGGTTTTCTGATGCTGAGGTTACCTTTATGCTATTGGAAGAACAAATATTCAGGCAAAAGTTTAAATTATGTCTGCTTTCTTTCCAGCGTCTGCATTTCAATATCTGCATATTTATAGAGCAAAGACTTTGGCACAGGCCTTAGTTGTATGTAGAGCCACTAGCAAATTCTCTTAAGTAAAAAAGGAATGAAAGTATTCTACGTAAAAAAGTAGAACAGAAGAAGAATATAGAAAAATAGCAGGGTAATAAATAACAATACATAATGTGTCAGACACCGTACTAGGCACATCATAGGTTGTTTAATTCTCCCAACAACTCTGTGAGGTAAATGTTATCACGCATAAGTTCAAGATAAGGAAACAGGCTCGCCAAGAATGAATTTGTTTCCCAGAGTTGAAAAGCCCCGCATTCAAAACCAGGACCATCTTGTTCTAAAGCCGTGATTCTCTGGACTGTGGCACACTGGTGTGCCATGAGAGGATGTTAGGTGTGCTGCGAAAATGTTTAAAGATCATTAAATTATTTTTAAGAGAAATTCAAAGCACATTAAGTATATCCTTTTTTTTACTCTTTTTTTGGATCACTGTGATTTTTAAGGGTGCCAGGAAAGTTTAACTATAGGTTCAAGTGTGCCGTGAGATAAAAGAGGTTGAAAAACACTGTTCTGAAACTTCTACCTCTTTCTACTACATTATGCCTCCCCAGGATTTATTTACGAATTGGTTTTATTTTAGAATGGGTGATTTTCAAATACATCCCCCCACAAGGTAGCTCTGGCCAGTTGGCCTGTTTGAAACTTACAGGTCACTTTGATGCTTCAGAGTGTGCAGAGGAGAGGCTGACCTCTTCTCTGGCTCTTCTTCCCCTAGGTTTCCACCTGGAGCAACACTTAAGTGAAGTTGCATTGCAGACAGCCCTTGCAAGCTCTTCAAGGCACTATGCCGGTCGGTCCTTCCAGATATTCAGGGCCCTCAAGCAACCTCTTTCAGCACACGCCTTATCTGACCTTCTCTCAAGACTGGTAGAAGTGATCGGAGAACATGGAGATGAGATTCAGGTATGGAAGCAGAGGCCACTGGGCTCTTGGAGGAGGAGCTCTCTTATTTCAATGATCAGAGTTAATCTTCTTTGAGCCTTTTATTAAAAAGCTTTGAAGGGGTGATTTTTATATTTGCAAAATAACTCCAAAGAGTATTGTTCTAAAAATTAAGTAGTATGTGTATTTAATAATGGATCTTATCTCCTTTTCTAAGCCAATAACTGGAA